AGAGGGTGAAAGAGACAATGGTAAAATGGGCAAAAAATTTTGGACATGGTGTGGATCTTGATGATTGGACTAAGATGTGGAAAGAAAGCTATAAGATGCTTAAACCAGCAAACCTTAGAAAAAATATCCTTAAAATGTTCTACAGATGGCATTACACACCTGTAAAATTAGCAAAAATATCAGAGGGTAACAGCAATATATGCTGGAAGTGTAAAAAGAATGCAGGAACTTATTATCATATGTGGTGGACATGCGAAAAGGTCAAAAATTATTGGACACAGGTATGGGACGTAGCAAAAGAAATTACCCAGCAGAAATTAGATATAAAACCTGAAATGGCATTATTGAATGTCATATCAGGCATTAATGATAATAAATTGAAGCATTGTCTTATATATATACTCACAGAAGCTACACTACTCTGGGCCCAAAAACGGAAAACCGAAGAGGTTCCAACGATAGAAGAGCTGTTAAAGAAGCTATGGGACATAGCAGAACTAGACACTCTATCAGAAGCACTACGGGAACAACCAAGAGACTATGTAAAACAAAGCTGGGAACTAATATACTCTTGGGCCCAGAAGAAGACAGGAGTGTAGGGCAAAGTTTATGATGTATGTATATCTACTCAGTATATACTGGAAATGAAATTGGGGGAGTAGACAGGTTAATGAAGCTGGAGTCTCAGACTCCAAAGGGGGGAGGGGGTAGTTTTAGGGGTTAGTTTTTTTCCTTTTTTCCCCTTTTCTTTTTTCCTTGTTCCTATTTGTCTTGTTTTTTGTTTCTGTGTGAATTTTTTTTTTTAAAAAAAGAAAGTCTCATGTTATTTAATTATCAGTACTGATGAGTAAATCCATCTCCATACCTCGGCAGCTCAGTCCATCTGATGTTCTTTTGAAGCCAATGCCACACTGAACCACACAATGATAAGAACCAATGATATTCTCACAATCTTGGCCAGGGTGGCATGAATGCCTTCGCAAGGCACACTCATCAATATCTGCAATAAAGGGCAAGCCATGAGAGTGTTATGTTTCATTGCATATAATGGGAAAAACAATACTAGTTTCATGACAAAGTGTTAGTATCACACAGATGCAAGAAACATTCTGTAGAACATTCTGTAGACTGTCCAAGTGTGGGTCCAGTCCAGGGATGCAGTGAAGCCATGGCTTTTCAATGAATAGGGATGAAAATGTCAGCTGCCCAATCCTTACTTCCCTGTTTCCTTTTTATTCAGCTGTATCCCCACAATACCTTGGGAAGGTTGGATTTTCCCACAATTTATGTATTTGAGGTTGACTTGATAACAAATGGATAATTAAGATTTGTTTTGTTTTCTTAAATGAAAGACCTAATCCTAGTAGAGCTGAAAACTGCTGGTTCACTTATCAACACAAATGCATGCATTTTTGAACTCTCCTTGGAGGCCATGGGACTGTTGCATGGGGCGCTGCATGTCAACATTCATCAGTGCTCCAGCCAGTATCTGAACGAGAGACCGCAAAACACCTTATGTTCTCTCATATGTTCTCAGGGTCTTATATTAATTTTTGCTCCAAAAAACACATTAGGGCTTATTTTCAGGGGATGCTTTATTTTTTTCATGTACAATCTACGTTTATTCAAATACAGTCGTGTCATCTTCTTCTGGTTGTTGCGCAATGGTGTAGGGTGGGCTTTCACTTAACTAGGGCTTATTTTTGGGGTAGGGATTATATTACGAACATCCTGAAAAATCATAGCAGGGCTTATTTTCAGGTTAGCTCTTATTTTAGGGGAAACAGGGTACCACATAGATTTTTTAAGAAATTGCTGAATACAAAATTGTTTGTATTGTTGCAAAATACAAACAACCTCAACAAAACACAAAAAACTACACATGCTTCTGTGGTATGTGTGCTTCTGTGTATGTTATGAAGAACATTGGAAAGCTGCTGCCTTTTCCCTAATGTTGTGCAACTATTTGAAAACCAAGTAGCTTCACAGTGAACCATAAAAGGATTGGCAGAGGCAGGAACAGAGGAAGGAAGGAAGTCTGTGGGCTGAAATGTCGATCACACCATGTCTGGGTGAGGACATAGGCTCCAAATCAATCTGCAGCCTCCATGCGATCACTAACTGAAATGGTAGACAGGCTGTGAATCAAACCGCAGCAAGGTGGAATTACTCTGATTTCACTTGCCAGTGTAGTCACAGCCTTCTTTGCATAACATCTAAAATGGCCTTTACCTTGGCATGCTCTTCCATCTGCTGAAATGGTAAGGCCTTTGGGACAGGAACAATAATACGTTCCCACAGCATTGTGGCATGTGTGGGAACATGGATTTTGAGTAGTACACTCATCTTCATCTAATGATAAAGACAAAAGTTGATAAAGTTATGATGCCATTCGCAAAATGTGAGTTGACAACATAAAGCCTACAGCCTAAAACATATGCCTGGACTTCCTAACTTTTATGTTGGAGGTAGAAGAAGAAAAAGAAAATATGGAGGAGAAAAAGCAGTCCCATTTCCACCAAATTGCAATCTTAACATTTCAGTGTGTAAACCCCTGTGTAGTTGTAGATGCAGTGCTGGACATTTCCACAGTTTAGAGTAATAATTCCTAAATAAAATTATTGTGCAAGACAGAAGAGGGGAATTCCCAACCTAAGGGCCTAGTCTTGCCTGCCAGGATCCCAATGCGTGCCCATGGAGGCTTCCTGGTCATGCCATCTGTCCCCAAGTTCTCCTGCCTCAGAAGGGCAACAGGGCTGATGAAAGGTAGAGTCAAAATCAGAAAGGATTGCAGGGCAGAAGCCAGTTCTGCTCCTCCTTTGCCTTTCCTGCATAGGATTGTAACCAGGCTGCACAGTGCAGTCCAGCAGTAATTAAGCAGTAGTTCAGTTGAGTCTTTGGATCTCAGCCAGGTCTGAAGATGCCAACTGACTGTACCCAACCCTACCTCCTTCTCACCTTGCCTATGAGGGGATAGTAAGAGAATATCAAAGCCACTTTATAAAAGGGCTGTGGGAAATATCTGACTTCCCACCACAGACCACCTCCACACCCCTGGTATATGAGCAATATGTTAACCAATTACATATATTATATTTTCCATCTGTAATGTAAGAAGACCTTTAAACCAACTGCTTAGTTTTCCTAGTCTTCAGAAATTGGGAGGAAGCTATGCACATCAAGAAACTGAATTGAGATTGTGTGCTGCATAGGAATTTAGTAGGCAGAAGCATCTAGCACTGCAAAGTAGGAAGGAGAGGCACTAAAATACCCGGGTGTCTGTGTTCTGTAGTGGCAGGATAAAGTGTCTCTTCTCTGTGCTCTCTCCATGAGCTGGCAGTGCAGAAAACAGATTTTATAGTCATTTCATATTGCCCTTTCTCTTACCTGAACAGTAGGGTCCAGAAGTATCCAAATGAAACCCATTAGGACACTGGTTGCTATGGTGTCCTGTGGAGAAAGAAAGCCAAAGGTCATTCAGACTGATAAAAACTGTGATTACCAAATAGCTCATTCTCACATGATGATGGAGTGCACTGTTTCTCTGCTACTTCAAAGGGCCCAACTAGATTGCAATCGCAAAAACAATGGTCTGAATGGGGTTTTTTTGCTTTGAGATGATCGGTTCCCTGCTTCGGGAACCGATTCTTCACAAAACGACAATTTTCCTCCAGCTGATTGGCAGTTTCAAAATGGCTGCTGGGTAAATAAAATGGCTCTGCGCTGTTTTCTGGGACGGATTCCTCACTGCACAGGCACCGAAAATGGCCACCCTATGGAGGATCTTCGCTGGACGGTGAGTTTCCAGCCCATTGGAATGCATTGAAGGGGTTTCAATGCGTTTCAATGAGCTTTTTATTTTCGCATTACGACGTTTTCGTTCTACAGCGATTTCACTGGAACGAATTAATGTCGTAATGTGAGGCACCACTTTACTGGGAAGATGGAAAGAACCAGAATGAAATTTATCCAGCAAATTAATACTACATGTGCCCCATTTGCGCTAAGTACCCCAGAACTGCCAGGCTCTGTTTAAATCACATGGACTCTCAAAGGACTGTTGTACTATGAAAAGTATCCCTGTTCGCAAGTATCTGCTTTTCTACAATAAAGCTTGTTTGCAATCCAGCTAGCTTTACAGTGAGACTTTTGGTCAGAGGACAAAACTCTACAGGCTTTGACTCAGGGTCAGATTGGATACTATAGTTAGCACAATATGAGAAGAAGAAAGCATTAGTGTTCTAGCCATACAATTCCTTCTGAATGTTGCTTCTGAGCTATGGGAATGGAAACAAAGCAGGAGTTTATATTCTGATGGTCACAAAACAAATGTATCTGCAAGCTATGGGAGACAAAAAAAAGCTAGAGGAACTATGATCAGATTCTCTTAGCATTTAAAGAAATGCCACTTCTAATAAGGACCTTTCTTTGGTGTCCAGTTCGCCTCTCCGATACTTTTACAAGTAGGAGTGGATAGCAAATTCATTTGTTTTTGTTAAATGACAGCTTCCTCAAATTTTCAATTATTACCCTAAATTCAGGAGAGAAAAAAAATGAAATTTAAGCTGTTTGAAAGGTAAGAGAAGCAGCAAATGCCTGGTTTGTTTATCTAGGCAGAGTGGTTTGAATGCTTATATCCTAGAAGTCTGGCTTTGAATCCATGGATATTATGCTTGTTGTGAGGAACTAGAGTTAGCAATTCTTTTCTTTCCTGATAAACATATGATCTAAATAGATGGGAACAACATGGTATTCCATATTAGAAATACCTTATACCTACTGAATTTGACTAGTGAAAACCTCTGACAATTGTATTTGGTTTTATTGTAAGTACATTCCAGATTTTTAAATTTGTTCATTAATTTTATGAGAAACAGATGATACTAAAAAAATGTGAATGTGACAGAAAGCAAAATTGTTAGTCCTTAGTCAGAATCCTCCTGACTCAAGAAACATGAGGTAATAAAATATTGCTTCAGAACTGTATTCTTCACAGCTGCTGTGTTCACACAGTCAACATGCAAACATAGCCATTTGTTTCCTCCAAATGTAAAATCACCCAACAAAAGCAAGTTAGTTTGTAACTTGCAATCCTGTGAAAGATGCTAGAGGACTATCACATCCTTTACTACTAAACAAAATGTCACTTCTTGTCCTAGAGCACCTGTCTCATATGTTTTCTCCTTTGGTTCGCAATGTTGTGCCACTCTCCAAAGTACAGCTCCCAGTTTTGCTACTTTCTTCCAGTTTGGTCTGGTTGTTGCCATACATTTTTCTCTTCCTGTCACCATTCTATGGCTGACTTGATAGCTCACTGAGCTGGGTACCCAGCTGTGGTGCTGGAGGTAGGGAGTTTGATTCCCACTGTACGTCCAGGGAGAAGGGCCAGCCTGTGTAGCCTTGAGCAAGCTGAGGTTATCCTCAGAAGAAGGGAACGGTAAAGAACATTATATCTAGAAAACCCTGGAAAGGGGTGTCAGTGGTTGGAATCAATTAGACAGCATGTAAAACGTCATATCATTTTTCTAGTCTGTCAGTTGTTCTTACCCACTTTCTACCTAAAGTGGTGGAAGCACTGAAATGTCTCTCTCTCTCTCTCTCTCTCTCTCTCTCTCTCTCTCATTTTCCTTGTCTCATTACCTTGCAAAAGCAGCCCATTTCAGAAAAGGGCAAACCATGTTGTTTTACTTCTGCCCAAAACAATACCTTTGGTAATGGAAGCACGAATTTTGAATGTTAGGGCTTCTTCAAGTGGATTGTATTCTGTTTCAATAAAGGAGGCTTGGAGCATTTCCACCAAAAAGGGCATTCTTCCATGATCCTCATCATAGGTAATCGTATGATTCCAAGTATATGGTACACTAACTCCATCTATGGTGAAGAGCCTTGTAGAATAAGCATAGAGTTGACCAGGACCTGTCTGAATATAATCTTCTGTATAATCCTGAAATGAACATCACAACTCCAGATTAAAGAGAAAGTAAAAGTGGGCCACTGCCATTTGAGGCTTCTCACTGAGCATATTTAATGAGCAGGAATGCACACCTGAACATTTGAAAATGGTAGATTCTTAAAATATTTCAAGTCTGTGATGGAACATTAAGTTCTTCTATTCTGAAGGGAAGCTCAGTGGACCTTTAAATAAACATAAATACTTTGAAATGTGGCCTACGACAAGGAACAGAAATGTTTTTATAAGGGCTAGTGCTTATTGTGCAGGTTAAGATTTTTATTTTTAGAAGTTGATTTTTAAAAGAACACTTAGGTTATTTAGCCTTTTAAAAAAAAACAGAGTATCAAAAGTTTTAATAATGTTGTTGTTATTATTATGTTTTGAGTTACTTATCTCAGATTTCTTTCACAGTAGCCAGTGTCCTTCAAAGCATAACACAAATCAATTGTCCATTCTCTCTCTCTCTTTGTGTAATATCAAAAGAAAGGATAATTTATGCACCTTTTTCTTGGCCTAAACATGATGTAGTATTGTGGGCTTTAAAATTTTCTTATTGTTCACATGAATATTTTTGCATTTTGTCTTTTCCACCACTTATGTGACAAGCTTTTATTGTATGGTAATGTATTTAAGATAAAATAGTCTAGGTTGTCACTAATTTTTTTGCATTTTATCATTTATGTGAAATATTTTGTTGTTGTGTTATATGTGTATTGTTTTATGTTGTGCACAGTTCTGGGTTCTTTTGTGGAAAGAATGGCATATAACTAAATTAAACTAAGCTAACCTAAACTACATGTTAAATGATAGCAATCTCATATCTCTGCCTTACAGTGCCTGAGTATATGAAATTTAGGAAGGAAACTCTTAAAAGGTTGGAGCAATGTCTTGACTTACCTTTACATTAACATCAGCTAATGACTGTAGTGGTAGTACATGGCCATTGATGACAACATCCAAGAGTAAAGAACCATCTGAATCCAAGCCACGGGCAATATGAGTCATTCGTAAGAGCTCCCCTGTGAATGATAATAATGGTTCTAATACATGAGAGAGATTTGGGTGTTGTTTCTTATAAGCCTCTGAAATGAATCAACAACAATACATTTACATTTGCAAAGCATAACAATAATAAGACTATATATATAAAGCTACCTCTTGAGTAGGCAGTTGACAGGGATTACAGACAGACTTGAACCCCACACTGCCAAGGTCATATATTTAAAAGCTTTTATTTCTCAGTGTGCATCCATATCTTTATTGAACTAAATTAATGATCTACAAAGTATGAGGAAGGTGCTTTATATTCCTGCCTCTTTCTCAGGGCATGATGAGAAGGAGCAGCATAGCATTGGTGGGGGGGGGAGGAATTATGATAAATAGTCCTAAAGAAAATATGTTGTTATTATATGGAAAACAGAAATATGTATCCCGTAATAACTAACCAGTAGCAAATTCCACTTGAGTTTCTCTCTTGAAAACTGCGTTGGTGAGTGAAAAACCATTCACGGCTTCCCCAACTTCTTTGGCAGTTGTCCAGTAAATTGGACTCAGAACAGAAACTAGTGCTCTCATTGCTGGACCTTTGGGAAAGGGGGGGGGGAAACCAAGCACAGCAACATGTGACTTTTATATTTGTATCTTCTATTTTCATTTTTGCTTGATTATTTCTCTTGTAAGGCTCCAATCTAGCCTACATCATCATGGGGTCTTAAATAAGCTTTCTCCTAAGCAGTAAAAAGAATTATGAAAATAGAACAAATTATACTTCAGGATTTTCAAAGATTGTAAAAGTGAAAGCACATGGTTCTGAATAGGCTTGCCTGCTTTCTGAATTTCTCTTACTATGATTGAAAGATAATGGTGCTATTCTCACTAGTTATTATCTCACTTGAAAAACACATACAGAGACTCACAATTCACATTTCAGTGGTCTCATCTCTGAACTGGTTATATGTTCAATAGCCTTTCTGGCATGACGGAGATGTGACTTGTAAAGATGAACATCTAATTTACACTGAGTGTAGAAAAGTCAAAGAAAGCAATGCTGTATTCCAGCCATGAAGAATGCAGGCAATTCTTTGTGACTGTGACCCAGTATTTCAATTGAAATAACCTGTATAAACTAAATCTTATTGTTAGTCCCAACTAGAGTAGAGTAGACCTAACGAGTCAATGAAACTTAATGTAAGTCTGATTCATTCAGAATTTTACCCTAGTTGGACCTAGCTATAAGGCAGTAAGTCTGCTAAGTCTAAGTAACGTCTCTAATCATGAAAGAAAAAAGAGGAAAAAAATCCCAGACGTACCAAGACTCCGAGGGATATTCGTAATTTTGGCTTGTATTCTTCTAGTATCCAGATCTGGGCTATCCTTTATGGTGGCATTCAAGAAAGCTATTCCAAACTCAATATCATTAATATTTCCAATTATACTTCCTCTAGTGCGTGGGGGCCCACCTATTGCCAGGGATGTTGGGGAAGAGAAAGAATTAACAGAGGAAGATAAAAGGAAGCACATATTCATGCAGTGCATAGTTAAGTTATGGAACTTGTTTTCACAACATGTAAATAATGGCTAGGAATTTGGTTGCTTAGAAGAAGGATTAGAGAAATTCAGAGGACATAGTGACCATCAATGTTCATTAGACATGATATCACATATTACTCCCAGGATTTGAGATACTGTACATCACCTGCTGGGGAGCACTAGTAAGACAGTGTCATACAATCACGTCTGGCTGGTGGGCTTCCCATAGACAACTGGCTGGTCATAGCAGGAACCAAATGCTAAACTAGGTAGTGTTTAGTCAGATCCACAAAGATCCCTCTTCTGATGTTCTATATGTGCCTGCCAACCCATTAAATCTTTTACTTTGTCATATTTTGAAACACACCATAAAATATGAGCATTGCCTCTGAAGTGTTAGTGTGAGGCCACACTGCTCTCTTTGTGTAGAAACATATAAAACAAAACAGCACACCTAAATGGTGATGTTACCAAACTTCAGCCAGGTTATGGATCCCTAGATGGATACTCCAAGCCTTTTTATGTAATGCAGAATCCTCAGAGTAAAAAGCAACTGCTGTTTAACAGGCTGCCAGTGTTACCACAAGAGATTATGGCAGGAAAGGAAACAGAACAAACTCCTGGAAGAATTCTGGAGAGCTTTACGCAATTATTTGGTTAGGATCTTTGCCAGAACACCGGAGAATATTCATCATACGGACATGCAAATCTTCTGTGTTCTAGTGCCAAATTAAGGAAACGAGAACCAAAAATCATGTCATGGGGGTAGCAATGAGACAGACACTTGTCTTTTTAAAACATATTTTAAAGGCTTTTAAAGCAGATTTTTGAATATTTGTGTGCTTTCAGGTGGACAGACTGACAAGCAACTTCCCTTGGGTTATGCAGCATTTTTAAAAACAACATTCTAACATTGAAAAATACCTTCCTGTGAAGCACTTGTAAGAAACGTTTGGATTCATCTGAAAATATTTGCCTGGAGTTTGAGCAAATATCAGTACATAGATCTGTGTAGTCCAGTGAGAGGTGGTGACTTTCCTAGGTTATAAGTTGGTGACAACTTTTTAACTCTCTGTTTCCATGATTCTGTGCCAAAGAGGTGAGGATTATGGTGCTCATAATACAAGTAAACTTGGTGGCATTGTTCTTGGGAGACAGCTGCAGTGCTAATAAGCTGCCTCCTATCCTTGAAAATATAATGCTACATTTTTCTATGGAGTTACCCATAAATACACAAAGTGCATGTTTCTTTGTGTGTGAGAGAGTAGTGGCTGGGGTAAGTAGATCTTATATACTGGGAGTACAGGATGAGCGATTTTTGTGAGATGGGAGGAGGCATAAAGGGGAATGTAAATGGAAAGAAACATATTCAATGTGCAAACATGTAAAATATGTGTCTAGTTTGAAATTTTGAGCATGAGGATGAATATCAATAACCACAATCAGTATCCATAACATAAAATTATTTTATTTCTCAGCATCTGACACACAACCTTAGGTTCGCTTACCTACCTGGACAAGCTTGAGTGTTACACCTGGATACCTGAGACTTGTCTCCAGGACAAGGGCGCCCATTGCTTGATGGGAATGGATGATTGCACAGTCGTGATCGAGTCTGTTCCCCTCTTCCACAAGTAGCAGAACATGTGCTCCAAGGCTGCCAAGGGCCCCAGTTTCCATCAACTGTAAACCAGCACAGAGGGTTGAGACCAGAGGTTTAACAGTATCACACTGATGGTTCACTGATGTGTGGTTGTTATGAGCTAACTGAAATCTGGATAACTATGGGATAAAACCAGACTCTCACTTGTAATAACAACAAAGAGAAGGCAAGCGGTTGCAGAATGGTGTGGAATGATGTACAACAGTTGCACATGTTCCAGGGAAGGCCAAAGCAACACAACACATAGAATCTTTTTTTGGGGGGGGGAAGTAACTCTAGATCTCATGGAGATCATATACACTACTCGTACCTAGACTAAAACAACAAGATATGTGAGAGTTATTTGAGAGAACTAAACCAATGGATGGCAATATCCAGAGCTCCAACAGCCATACATGGCCGTTCCTGAGTCTTGGAAGGCTACACCCACTCTCGTGACCTCTACATCATTTTTTTCCTTAAAAAAAATATGTGTTTCCCCACAAAAAAATGTGTGTTTCCCCACCCCCACCCCCCAGAAAAAGCATAATGCATCCTATAGTGGCCATATACCAGTGGATTTTGAGCCAACATAATTTTTGGAGGGGCTGCAGGCATGCTGAGGGCTGCATGTTTCCTATTTGGTATAAATTATATATGATGCCAGATATATCTCTTCAAATATGGCTCCATCCTTATAGTTGTTACATGCCATTAAGTCATCTCCAACTTATGATAGCTCTACTGTGGGAGTATGGTTCCAGGTACCAAAGGGTGATGCTGTTTCCTTCTAGCTTGGCTCTGATACTAGAAGGAAAGAGAGTTAGGCACCGGGGAGAGGGGGAAAAAGAAGAAAGTATCTCATCCACGTATTTGTATTTTGTGGTTTATAGTTGTGTTCGGACGCTAGGGTGTCCTAGTGGGGAACAGGAGAGGTTTACTTCCCACTTTGATCATGATATCAGTAAGGGAATTTCAGCAACTGTAAATTCATATGAACCTGCTGAAATGCTCCCATCTGCATAATTGTTAAAGGGGCAGTGATCTGGTCCTCTTTTGCTTTCATCACCTGGCATTGGGAGTAGGTGTGCATTTGAAAATACATATCTGGTGACATTAATTACTATAGTTTAGCCAAAAAGAGCAAATAGCTGCTAAGCCATTGGCACAACAGTTTCCATGTTTCTGGTGAATTCATGCCTCTACATAAAAAAAAATAATAATTCAAAGCCCAAAATGTCTTTGAGAAGTTTCTACTTCTGGGAATAGAATTTCTGCACTTTATAAACATCCAGATTGCTGTCTTTCATGTACAGAGGTAGTAGCCATGTACATACCAAGGTAACTCACCAGGACATAGTTCTGCATGACATCTCTGGATCTGTGTATCAGCCCCTGCACAAGCTCTTCCGCCATTGAGTGGACGAGGGTTGTCACAAGTCCGGTATCTCCTCATCTGGCCACTATTACATGTTCGACTGCAAGTGCCCCAGTTGCTCCATGGGCCCCAGTTGCCATGTGCTGTGGAAACCAAACATTTTTTCCAACCACTACTATTTATATTTAAAGACATGATGGGTAACGGTAAAAAAAAATCAGAAGAAGACTGAGACTTGAAAGGGCATTTATGAAGGAGCTAGAAAATATCCCTGAGAATAAGGATATTGCACTGGGGACTAAGATCATCCATACAATGATATTCCCACTTGCTATGTATGGGTGTGAAAGCTGGATACTGAAGAAAGCTGCCAGGAAACAAATTGATTCATTCAAAATATGATTTTGCAGGAGAGCTTTATGGATACCATGGAGCATCTGAAAGATAATAAGTGGCTGCTAAATCGAATAAAGCTTGGAATTTCTGAAAGCAGATATGTCTGAACGGAGGCTATTGTACTTTGGGCACAATAGAAAACAAGCCTCGCTGGAAAAGGCAATAATTCTGTGAAAAGTTGAAGATGGTAAGAAAAGAGGGAAAGAGGACTGAATATAAAATGCAATGACTCAATAAAGGAAAACATAGTCTTGAGTTTGCAAGACCTGAGTAGGGTTGTTCATGACAGGACCCTTTGGAGGTCATTACTTACAGGGTCACCATCTAGCAGGTGGCAGGCGGCATCTACCATGGCATTATAACAACAAGAGGCATTGTGAAATCTGTCGCCTGGCACCACATGAAGATGAAAAGCTGTCTATAGCAAATTCCCATTTGCCCCATAGTTCCAGTCCCGAAGGCACTTACTAGGGCAAGGGTCACTGTTGCAAAAGTCAACCTGCACATCGTTCCCTTCACATTTGTGTCCGCCATATTTTGGTGGTGGGTCTGAGCAAACTCTTGTTCTCTGCCGGGTACCACCTCCACAGGACATCGTACAAGCACTCCAGCTGGACCAGGAAGTCCACTTGCCATTCACTGTTTTAAAAAATAAGTTGTTTTTTTTTTAATTGTGTACCTTTTAAAAAATCCTAGGTAAAGCAGATAAGTGTGTTTGTCTGAGCAGAAAAGACATAAAGGGCAAGGAGAACTGAACCATCCACATTTTCATACTTCACCTCTCCTCTTTCCAGGTGGTTTCCTCTGATGCTTTTCTTAATTTGGATGCTAGAAACAAATGAGGTACCAAATTGCCTGGCACAATGAATGGAGGAGAGGTGCGGAGAGGTGAGCTACAGAAGAAGCAAGCTAAGGTATGGAGGCAAGGATTCAGTATTTGCTTCTTATACGCTGCCTCACCCCTGCTCTGTAAGTGAATGAGGCAAGGGAATCCAGATTAGCTGAGCAACCAAAGAAAGTGCAATCTGCTCAAGTGGCATCTGGGATAATGTTTTTTTCTGAACTGCTTTCATTCCTTCCAGACAGAAAAATCATATGACCGGATGAAGGCTAGGCTGCAGCTTCTTCCCTGATAACCAACTTCTTTTTAAGAAAGAATAGCAAAATATGATTTTGCCCCCATTTTTTTTTAAAAAAATCTAGCTTGATCAGGGAAAGCTTACCCATTTGATTCGAGAGTATCAACAGCCCCTTATCTTTCCAGAGTAGGAAGACCTTTTAAGTTAGTACACAACCCATACAATTGCAAGCCATAGTCTGAAAAGCTGCTTCTGGATTCTAGTCCCAAATGCAGTGGGAACATCAATGCCACGTATTTCCCCCCATATACATTTCCAATAGAAATTATTGTTTGCCCCATTTCCAACCCAAAATACCACAACTATTTTGCTTTCCCCTCTTGCCTTCTATAATCCCCTGTTCTTAAACTAGGTCTGAACTTTTTTATAAACTCAGAGTTTGTTTTTCCTCCTAAAGAATATATAAACAATAGAAAAGAAATTACTCATTCACTATATAACCTACCTGGACAGTCCCTCTCACTGCAAACCTGTGCCTGTGCATCTGGTCCATCACAGGAAGAACCGTCAAATGATGGAGGGGGATTATTGCACAGCCTTACTCTGACGTGAGTGCCTTTCCCGCATGTCTCACTGCAAGGTCCCCATGGAAGCCAAGAACCCCAAGCACCATTGACTAGAAGAAAAACAAAGGTACAATCCAAGATAAGACTTTTTTTTTTAAAAAAAGAAGGAAAATAAACCTTGGGTTGGATCCGAAGGTTGCAGAAATGCAAGGCCGTTTGCCCAGCGGATCATGTCCATCCACTCATCTCCCATTTCAGACCTTTGTGCCCCCTAATAAGGCTGTATGTGTGGACCCTCCAGAATAGAATAGGCTGCAGAGATAAGACTATAAGCCACCATCTAGAGAAGAAAAGGGAATTCATATGAAGGGTAGCCCACGTGCATCACTTGATCCCTCTGCATTCTTACCTGGACAAGGCCTAATGTTGCAGATGACTGACTCTGCTGCATTGCCATCGCAAGGCTTTCCACCGTGCTGAGCTCGGGGGCTGCTACAAGTTCTGGTTCTTGTCTTGTTGCCTTGCCAGCAGGTTTTCGAGCATTCTTCCCAAGACCCCCATTCTGACCAGCTCCCATCCACTATGAAGAATACATATATGGCATGAATTATTGAGATCCACTGGCAAATTTATTATAGCTCAGATTTATTACAACAAGCAAAACAATGCCGGACAGAGATACACAATGGGATAAGCTCATAGAGGAGCACTGGCAGAATTGGCTTCAGTGTTTGCCCGGAAATTCCCAGAAGAACTATAAACATGTGAAACACGTCGTGGCAGTGCATCGCTGGCGTGGATTACTGTAACAATAGGTTTCTTTCAACGGGTTTATTCAACAGAAACACAGCATATCTCACATAAAGATAAGAATTGCAGTCTGGGCTTCTGTTAGGCATATGTAAAAAGAGCGAATATTCATTTACCCGGACACAGTTTGTTCTGACAGCTTCGTACTTCATAATCAGGCTCAATACAGTGTCGTCCACCATTTGCAGGTAGAGGATTGTTACATCGACGGGTCCTTTTCTGAACTCCTTGACCACATGTTATGCTACATGGTTGCCACTCAAGCCACTCAGAAAATCCCCCATGCACTGAAATGGAAAAAGCGAATTAATTTTAGTTAATATGCCTCCCAAACATGTAAATGTGTTATTTCCTTTTAACTTCAGACGATGCATTTAGTCTTGTAGCTAACTCAGTTATTAATCTACCATAGGTTAATTTTGTCTCACAACTGAACAGTGATCAAAGTGATGTGACACAAGGCAAACAGTTGCAATTTATTTCTGTTTTCCACAGAGGACTAAAAAGAGATCGGAAATAAAAAGCCAACAAATCGTACAAGGAAGCCTGTTTTGAAGATTCTCACTAATAAATCTTTAAAGTGCAAGGAGATTCTCTGTGGGTTTGCTTGTTTTAAGAATGGACTTACATTTTAAGTACCATATTTTTCCGTGTGTAAGACTATACTTTAGTCTAAAAATTTTAGACTAAAAATTGAGGGTTGTCTTATACATGGAAGTAAGCTGAGGAGAGTACAAAAAAAGTGGAGGGGAAAGCACGGATCAAATTGTTCCTGCAGGGATTTGATCCCTGCTTTCCCTTCCACTTGCTAATCCTTAGCAAAAGGAAAGCAAGGATCAAAGCGCTGCAGGATTACTTTGATCCCTGCTTTCCCGCTGCTTGCTAAGTCCCATAGGGCTTAACAAGAGGACAGGGGAAATAATCAAAGCAATCGCTTGGCTGTATAATGGGGAAAGGGATCAAAACAACCATGCAGTTGCGGGATTGCTTTGATCCCTTTCTCCCTCCTTTTGCTAAGCCCCGCGGGGCTTAGCATGAAGGGAGAAGGCAGGGATCAAAGCGACCCTGCAGCACTTTGATCCCTTTCCCCCTACACTTGCTAAGCCCCACTTAGATTTCTTAATTTGCGGTTAGTAAAGTGGGGGGTGTCTTATATATGGGGGTGTCTTATGCACAGAAAAATACTGTACTTCCAGGGAAAGCCAGGACAAGACACACATTTACAACAGTTTAAAATAGATAATGTACAGTATATGAAAATATGGAAAACCAAGGTCTAAACAATTTCCTGAAATCCTATTTCTAAAGGAAACATTGCTATTGTAGAATCTGTCAGTAAAATGTTTTATACTTTAGTGTCACAGGAAGTCTTTTAAACACTACTTTCTGGGCTTATCTCAAAAGTTGTCATAAATAGAAAGAAATATCTTAAATAGAAAGAAAAAGCAATGCAAAACTCTTCTGTATTAAAGGAAAATGAAGTATTTCTACAACACTGTTTCTCAAAACTTTGATGGCTTATAGAAAGTGTTTTTTTCCTGAATGAAGCCAATAATTTTAGTTTTTACTCTTACACATAAACCCTACTCAGGGGTTTGAAACTAGTTGAAGTAAACATGGAAGGAGTACATGGCTGCACTTTCCTCCAATGCCAGTCTCTCCATGTGAAGAGCAACAGTTTAAATCAGAGAGCCTACTTTATATGAGAAGGCTCCCTATGCAGTTCTAATATCTGACTTTTTAAGTAAGAAAGTTGCATTAAGGGGTAGGGCTACAGCATTTCCAGCTCCTTCTGTTTAATTTAGCTATTCAGACACATGAATATGGCTCAGTGATGGTTTGCTTTCTAGAGTGTGGAAGAATAATCATGGCATACCCTGTCCTATAGCAGGTACAGTAATTCTGCAGCATCTCTGTTTGCAAACAGACGAATGCTTTAACACCACAGTATGCAGGCATACTGCAGAATAGCTAACCCTCACCATGGGGATGGAAGGAAAGAATATAACATCAGAGCAGTGACATATGGCAGAGGAGACAACTTCCTCAGTGGGTGGGCAACTTGAGTTCACAAGAAGATTTAATTTGTAATTAGTCCTCATTTTGTGGAAGCACAGTTCCACTGGCATGGTAGCAGACCTCACGTGGCACAGCTGTGCGTCCCAAGAAATAATTGGTGAAATACCATTGTGTAGAATGACTGACTTTATTAAGGTCTTCGCTTCAGAGCACACATGCATTTATGTTACAAAGTCCACAATGAACAGTATGAAAAAGTAGTACCCACCTTGGACAATAAATGGCACTTTGACCAGGACAGAGCCCATGAGGTTCCTCGCTACACATTCATAGTCAGAAGTATCTTCCTTACGTGCAGCTGCAATGCGCAAGGAACCATTCGTCAAAACAGTCATTCGCTCTTGGCTATGGAGAGGCCAGCCTTGGCGGGACCACTCGATAGTTGGGGGAGGTTCTCCTTCTGCTTGGCAGTTCAGCACCGCTGTGGTTCCAGCATCAACAATAGTCTCTACCGGTTCAATTGTAATAACGGGTGTACCTAACATAAGGAGAATATTCCCAGTTTGATTATTCTTGCAATAAAATACTGAGAAGATGGATTTCTTCACTTTCTCCAAAAGACTTTCTGCAGTGTTCTGAGTGACACATCAAATATTTCATTTGAAAGAGAAATGAAGCAAGCATTTATGAATTTTGTCAGGATTTTCCAAAATACAAACACACATCATCATCATCAAAACCTGTATTTCTAAATGGATTTTCTCTCCAGGGCCTAAATCTAACCTGATACTAACACAAGAGGAATATTGACCCATTCCTTCCTAGATCTTGTTGGATATCAAATCAGCCCAAATGGTGCTCTGGACCTATCCAGTTGAGGAGGATCATCATCAGCTTGAGAAGCAACAGGATCTTATCCTTCTTATAAGAGATGCAGAGAGGCAAGGAATCCTAGATAAAGTACAGTGGTGCCTCGCAAGACAGTTACCCCGCATGACAGTTTTTTCGCTAGACATTGACTTTTTGCGATCGCTGTAGCGATTCGCAAAACAGTGATTTCTATGGGGGAATTTTGCTCGACAATGTTTGGTCCCTGCTTCTCAAACCAATTTTCACTAGATGATGATTTTTACAGCTCCCTCCGCACTCGCGAAACAGGTGTTTTCGGGACCTAAGCTTCGCAAGACAGCGATTTAAACAGCTGATCGG